CGATATCGGTCAATGTCAAATGCCTTTTTTGTCGCATCACTAGTATACCTCAAAGGACGTGACAGGGTTGTTGTGCATTTTAAACGTTTTTCACCATAGCAGTAAAAATCTAATATGTTAAACTTAATTTGGTGGTATTAATTATTTGAAATATACTTTGATTTAAGAAAGATTGTATAATAAAGTTTAAAAAACTCTATTGTTTATTATATATGAGGTATAACGATTACAAACTTCAAAGTATAAACTAAATTACAAAATCACTTTTATGTGCACTTGTCTGAGTTTAATTGTCTAAAGCAAAATTTGAAAATGAATTTTTTTAATTACAATAAAAATCTCTAAAAATTTATTAAAATTATTTCAAAATGCCTAATTTTAAATTATTTATTTCATTTTGTTTTCGAATTATCCGAATAAAATATAAAAATATAATTCGATAAAAACCATACCGATGGATTTTGATTTATTATTATAACAATAGCTTAAAACGAATGTATCCGAAGTTTAATTCGTGCACATTTTAAACTTCTACCAATAAAATAATTTCTGGATAACATTTTTTTTTTTGTACAATTTATAATTTACATTAATTGTGTAATATTTAGAGATTTAAAATTTTTGCATGTTGATCAGTTTCCGAATAGAAATTAAAATATATTTAATTTTGATGAATTTACTATGAGCCCAACATATTTCGTGAAGAAATGATTAACTTAAATGTGAAGAGTAAGTAGGCAAGAATTTTTCTAATTGCAATTCCATTAGCTGTCTTTAATTGTAGAGCTCCTGTAATGCTAGCTTCACTTTAGAGTTGTTCTGTATTGATGGATAGTTTTCAATTGCGAAAAACACGTGTAAAGAACTTGTGATGGTAAATATTTATTAATATTATGGGTGTGTTGTTTTTAAGAAAAATTCCAGATCCAGTAATGATTAAATGTATATTGTTTAATTAAATAATTAGTTTAAGAAGAAAATATATTCGAACATCTCTCCAAAGAAAAAGCTTCTGGTATCATCTGCATGTTCTGCGTGAGCATTTCTCATGCACTTTTTCGTTAAGCGTTCTCAAACATTATTTTTACCACAATATCACAATCTTAAAGAGTATAACTACAATAAGGAAAACTAAGCTAAATTATTGGTATATTTAATATTCAATGAGCACAAATGTATAGAAAATTTAGTAGTATCTTTTCGCACCATCTGACATGGAGATAATAGTGAAAAAAACAAATATGGTTGGCGCAACTAGAATTGGCCCTTGGGCTAGTTCATTTTTGCGTCTTTGACGGCTGATAGAATTGTTTATGAATGCACGTATGCCCTCTTGGGATTCGCTTTATCTTGAAAAGGTGTCGAGTGCGTGTGGTTAATTTACTTATTGTGATTAATATTAAATCAACATTATTATCTTCTGTTACATATTTATTAAAAATTCTTGTTTACAAATTAAGAAAAAAAAGACGTATGGTTTTATCAATCTCCATTAAAGTACACTAAAATGAACTAACCCAATGCTAATTATAATTTTTCACCTTCTTCACTAATTACAAATAAACATGTGCAGTTAGAGAAAGAATAAATCTATTTAAAAATTTAGTCCTTATTTTACCATTTTCTTTTACTACTTATTTGTGTTTGATAAAAGTGTTTAATATCAACTAAAAAGGAACTGTTCTTACAATAAATATTTAAAGAATTAACTTTTTACGAAAATGAAAAAATTGTATAATTTACATAAAAATGATGTTATACATATAGACCTAAAATATAAAAAGGTACATGATTTTTAAATTTATTTAATAAAGGTACGTTAGTTTTTAGTTTCTTTGTTTGTTGCGAAATCATTTTAAACGAAAGAAATCAACTTATGAAAAGAAATTAGCTTGGT